GGGGAGCCCCACGGCCGCCTACCAGCCGCCTCCTCCTCCCCCCGCCGCGCCTCCGCCCCCTGCCCCCTGCAGCGGGGTTACCTGTCACGGGGAGCCCGCTAAATTTTACGGATACGATAACTTACAGAGACAGCAGATTTTTACGACACAGCAAGAGGCCGAGCTGGTACAATATCCTGACTGTAAATCGTCCAGTGCTAATATTGGCGAGGAACCAGACCACTTAAATCAGAGCTCGTCTCCTGCTCAAATGTTTCCCTGGATGAGACCACAAGGTTGGACGCAGTCAAAAATTTGCTTCCATCTCACGTCTGAGTTTGAAACTTTCTTTTCCTCCTCCTGCTTCTTTCTCGCTGCCTCTCGCTCCCTGCCCTGCCTCTGCCTCCCTCTCTCCCTGCCTCTCTCCCTGCGATTCCTATCACCGCGGTGCCTTGCGATAATAAAGCGATACAGTAAGCAAAGAGAAACCTCTGCAGAAGGCAGCTGCCACCCCAAAAGCAGCCTTCAAGTCGCCTCTCGGACGCAGAGGCGCAGCTGACACGGTCGCCCGGCTCCCGCCGCAGCTGCCTGAACGGGAAGGGTGCAGGGCCGGGGGGTTCCGGTTACCAGATAATAAAGTGACCCCGTAAACTCGGTCCCGTAAAGCCCTATGCAGGGGGAGAGCTGAGGCGCTTCGTGCATCTGCTATCGCTATTTTTCCCGCACTCATGTGTAAAGCTCGAGACTCCTCCGTGCCCTCTGCTTTCTCCCCCTCACGTTTCTGCGGGACTTCTCTCGAGGGATTTCTAGAGGGACTCGAGCCCTCGCTCCCTGCCTGCGCCTCGTCTTGAACGACCGCACCAACCTCCAAAACCCTGTGTTTTTGTTTTAAACAGCAGCGCCGGGTAGGAGGAGAGGAAGACAAACATACAGCCGATTCCAGACTCTAGAGCTGGAAAAGGAGTTCCTCTTTAACCCCTATCTGACCAGGAAGAGGAGGATCGAGGTGTCCCACGCACTAGGACTCACCGAAAGGCAGGTAAAGATCTGGTTTCAGAACAGGAGGATGAAATGGAAAAAAGAGAACAACAAGGACAAATTCCCCGCTTCCAGACAGGAGGGAAAGGAAGGGGAAGCCAAAAAGGAAGCACATGATCTGGAAGAAGACAGAGCTGAAGGCCAGACGAATTAAAAATTGCCCTAAAAGCCGTTGTGAAAAGCTACAAAAAATAACCAGCGCCATAGCCCAACATCTCGGCCCGTCTCCCACTGTACGTGGTACTGCCGTGGGACGAGTGACCCCGTGTCCCTCCGCTTGACATTTCTCTGCTTCGGGTGCTTCACTTGTTTGTGGTTTGGTTTGGTTTTGTTTTGTTTTGTTTTTTTTAACCGTATCCGGAACAATCTCTAGATTTAACAGTTCATCTACTTCTTTTGGAAATTTGATACAGAGTTTGTAGTAATACATTTCTAATGATATATATAAATACAAAATTTTTTTGCAGTCTTAAAAGACGGTGATTGCGGGAAACGACATAGACTTCCTAATAATAAATACCAATAAGCAAGACATTTAACAATGCTTTATTAATCAAGACAAGTGCACTTGTACTATTTTAATTCTTGTTCTTATCTTATGTTAAGTAAATTAAATAAATTTAATAAATTTGAAGAAAAGATCTTAGAAATATATTTAACCTTCTGCTATTGATATTTGATTAAAATAAACCAAATTTATTCAGATATAAAATGTATCAGCTTCCTGATATACTTTCTGTAATCCACTCCTCCAGTACCCTTCAGAGCCTCTCCGCGTCTGGACTAACTCTCTCCTGCGCCTTTTCCCCGTCCTTCCTCCGACGCTGGACGTTTCTGTGTGCTCTGGGAAGGGCACATCGGGTACAAAACCTGGTTTTCGCTCCCTGCCGCCTGCACACCCTGCCACCGCCACCG